TACTCGAAGTTGCTGATCTGATCTTTTCTTTCCTGGTTGTGGGCGAGACAAAGTCTTCTTAGTCTTCCACTTTTTCGGTGATATCTATAACAATNATAAGAAGGAATACCTGTCTCAAGGTAAACAGGAGTTCCCGGCTCAAGCGAAATGATACCGGCGCAAGGTAATTCAATTCTTTAGTTTGTGGCAGAGAGTTTTACAAGGGTTGAATCTAGAGATAGTAAGACCCAGCTTGAGCATCTATCACTTATTTCGTAAAATTCCAATTTGGACTTGAGAAAGTCAAATTGGCAAAAATCACTCAAACTACTAAGAGGTATAGAGTGAGTAATCACATGTATTGTTGTATTGTATCCCGATCAACCAAACATGCCCTAAAGCTCTCAATCCGTTAGGTAACCATCTAGGCGGAAGTTACAACCCTAGATATTTTATAACCTGAAAAATAACATTACCAAAAACATTGTATCTTAGCTCTTCAATTACAATCATTAACATACAAATTAGAAGTTGAAAAGAAACAATTGAATATGTGGAAGTGCAATCTTGGGCACGTCATACACTAAATTAGGTATATACCTAATCCCACATAAAGATCTCTATGGAATCGACCCCGACTCACATTGGTTATTTATAATTGCATCGACCGCCTCATAATCCCAGTTAGTGGTGTGAGTTTGGGCGACGTCAATAGCCACTTCATATATTCGGCCTTTGCCTTCAGGCGAGCCTTGGCTTCCTCCATATCGGCCTTGTATTGGGCCACCATTTCTTCAGCATCGGTAGAGTTTGTATCCAACTTAAACTTCATCACCTCGTATTCTCTACCGAGGGCATCTCGCTCTGCGAAGGCCAAGCTCAACTATGCTCAGAGATCGCCATTCAACTTAGTTCACTTGTCAGCTTTGCCTTTCGCCACCCAGAGTTGGTTCTTAACTGATGCCAACGCCTTAGTGGCTTCCTTCTCCGAAGCCACTAGGTCCATTTTGCTTTTCCACCCATCAGCCATGGCCTGGACCTCATTCATTGGGACTTGAAGTTGGTCTATCATGTCAAGCTTCTGTTGGGCCTGCGAGGTTTTATCGTTAGTCACCACGATTAGCTCCATGTTTTTAACTTCAAAGACCTTTACCTTTTCGACCAGGTCAGCATTCCCGCCTCAAGGTCGAAGCTTCCTTCTGAGCCCTGTCTAGCTCGTCCTAAAGATCCTTGATGGCCCCATCTTGTTGCTCACTAAGAAGCTTGTACGTATCCTTTTTTCGGGCCTTCTCCTAGAGCTCGAACTCGAGCTGGCTTGTTTCTAAGTGGTACCGAAGAAATCTCTCGTGGTGAAGCACTGAAGCCTGTAAAGAAATAGAACTAAGTAAGAAACATCAAAGGATATTTTTAAGTAATTCATAAGAGAAGTTCGAAGGTATTAGAACCATACTCGGTTCAGAGACTGATGTGCCTCATTGAAAAGGCTCGACGTGCCCACCTCATTCATCTTTGTTTGATCCTCCTCAGTTACCAAACATCAGAGGTAGCTGGCCATATTTACCAAAGTTGATAGGACCTGGGCATCCTCCGGGACCATGAGAATAATTATCCTCTTGCGCTTGGGGTCTGCACTCGGCGCAGGAAATTGCTTTACCAATCGTGGGCTCATGCTCGGCCCGTCAGCTCGCGAAGGCATTTCCTTCTTCGGTATCTCCAAGTGGCCCAACCAGGAAAAATCTTATACTATTGACATATCCATGCCATTGAATAAGGAATGGAGTGGTTGCTCCTTCATTTAATTTTTCTTTGACCACTTGGACCTCTTCGAGAATAAACTCGGTGTAGGAGGGAAACTCAACGATGTCAATCACACCGGTCACCTCCTTCAGGGAAGGAGCGGTTTCTTGGGAGGTCGTAGGCTCCTTCTCCACTTTGGCCTCTCCTACTAGAAGGGGACCAGGCTAGTGGCCCTTCTCCCCAATCATCGCATGTTCCACGGCAAAGGTCGATCCATGGGCGACAAAGATATCATCTTCTTCAGGCACGTCCCTGAGCCGGTAAAGCAAGTCAGAGTCCGATACTCGGGACCTAGCATTCTTCTTAGTTTTGCAAGCCCGAGTTTCCGACCATTTCTTTATCTTCACCTCGAGCCCCTTTAAGCCCAAGCATTTCCTTTTTCTCTTCTTCTCCTCCGAGGCGACCCGGGGCTGACCTATAATGGAGAGATCAACGGACAAGAACACACTCTAGTCCCCTTCTATCGGCCTAAGTTCGGTTATCTTAGGCAAACTTGCAAAAGAAATAAGAGAGGTCAATGAACGTAAGCTTAGATTATAGTAATAGCTATGCATAGGAGAAACTTACCATGAGAACGGGCCTCCCATCGACCCTTTAAAAACTTGTACCATGAGTGCTCGAAGTATGACATCTGCTTGCTGAGGCTTTCGATCTACTCCTTGAGATGGGGGATAGCCATGGGAACCCGAGAAATTGATGCACAATCATGAATGATGATGGTGAGAAAGGAAAGAATGTAAGATTGACACGTATGAAAAAACTACACTTACGAGATGCATTCCACTTCTCACGAAATTTCAGGAATTTGGGAGGGATCAAATACTCAGTTTTTACCTGAACGTAGCGACCCTGCTAGTTGCAGTCCATATCCTTGTTGAGGCTTGAAAAAGAGGATTTGTTGGCCCATCGAGTGAGCTTGATTAGTCCCACTCAAAAAATCAGGGGACTGTACAAACATAGTAGATGGTCAAGGGTGAACCAAGAGAACTCGGTGTTGTTCACAAAATAACGAAAGAGGATAACGATCCTCCAAACAATTGGGTGGATTTTCCCAAGGCACGCCTCGTACCTCTTGCAAAAGGCCAGAATTACCGGTCTACTAGGACCAGTGTAAAAGGGTAAGTATAAATACTCAAATACCCCTCCACGTAGGTAGTAATGTCATCCTTGGTCCCAGGGACTACCACATCCATGCCTTACTATTTACAGTCCTCTCGGACTGTGGGAAGGACATATTCGATAATGGAGCATATGTATCTCCATGCTGTTTCACCCCGATCCTGTTTAGATGAGGCCTTCTCGGCCTTAAAGTTGGCTGCAATTGAGCAACCCCTAGGTATAAAGATTTTCATGGGGGACTCGGGGGAAGCCTCGAGAGCAGCCACCTCAGGAGCGGCCACCTCGGAAGAAGCCGCCTCAACCTCTGTAGCCGGGTAGGAAGATGAAGAGGCAGACTGCTGAGGAATTGATTTAGAAATCTTAGCCATCGCAATCTAGAGAAAATGTGAATATTGGAAGAAGAAAACATGAAGATTTGAAGGAACAAGTATGAAGGGTGAAAAGAAGAGTATGAATGTTTGAAGATGGGATAAAGATCTGGATGGAAACCTAAGAATAATAGTGAAGACTTAAAGACCAAATATGAAGATATAAAAATTCAAAACACTTGGTAGTCGCTAGTAGGTTCAAAGTTAGAAGATTTGGTCGGAAAGTAGAAGTAGTACAAAGGGTCAAAGCTTTTATAGGAGAAATACGCGACGCTTCACATTCGAAGGCAACCAGCCAATGAATGATATGTGTTCGAAGTCAAAACGATACAACTGATGGGACGTTTCGACTTATCCGTCATCTCTGTTGAAACGGGCGAAGGAAGGAACAGGGTTCATCTATCGTCTACTATCGTTTTGACAAACCTACTATATGTGAAACAAGGGGACTATCTATATACGAGTAAAACTAAGGGTAACCTGCACCCCAATTTTTTGGTGGGCCAAACGAAGCTAAGGTATGATTATACGAGGTCAGAATCGAAGCCGGAACATTTCGTACTAAGGCCCAAATGGAATGTTCACCACCGGGATTGATGAGACGATACTTCCCCGATTCCGGAACGAGCTCCCAGACCTCGTAAAGCACGACAACAGTTATGCACGACCAACAGAGGGCCGAAATATCCGCACCCTACTGAATATCACGGCACGGATCTCGTTCGACATCTACAGTAAATCGGTAATTGACTAAGAGAAGGATTTTTACCCTTTTTTATAACTATACTAGGGGTAAAACTACCCTACTATATAAAGGAAAATTTTTATATCAATAAATACACTGTAACACGCTTATTAAGGTAATATAAACTTGTTTTTCTGCTTCTAAGTTATTCAAAAGTTCTTATTTTGCTCATAGGTCTTTATATATTTTTTGTTTCGAATCAAGGGTCTAGTCGAAGGCGAAACTACTGTTAATCCTAAATCTGATCCCAAACTTAATGTCACAGCTGGTTTGGTTATTTATCTTATCTGATATTCTCGATCATTTGTGTTGAATTAATACACATATACTTAAAACCACATACAAATTTAATTGTTATCCATTTTTTAAGAGTAAACAAATTTTAAAATACCTTTGCTAATATATAGAGCAACAATTTTTGTTTAGTCATGTTTCTAAAAGTACTTTTAGAAAGAAAAAAAAACCTCAACTCTCCGAAATAAGCACTTGAAAAAATAGTTTGTGCTTCTTAGGAGCTTGGATGCTATAAAACTCAGTTGCTACAATGTACTAAAACTTATTTCGCGATTTTTTTTAACTATTATAGTAAGAAAAATTAACTAATCACACGTAAAATTAAACCTTCAATTTCTGATATAATTAAGCTCAGACTTGCTAAACTTTATGGAGAGAATGCAATGAGAAACCCTAGCTGAAAGGGAAGAGAGAAGAAGAGCAGAGAAGAAGCAAAATGAATGAAACAATAACCACTTTCATTCTGTTCTTAAGAGCTGTACTGTAGAGTATATATACACGTGAGTTAACTAACTAACTACTACTCTCATACATGATTAACTTCTAACTACTTAACTAATCTAGTTAAGCATAAATAGACTAAACTACCCTTCATACTTAAGTCACTCCTCTTTCCTCAACACTCCCCCTCAAGCTAGGTGATACAAAAACATCAAGAACACCTAGCTTGGACATCAAGTACTCATGTTGCACTCTAGTCAAGCCTTTTGTAGAACATCTGCAAGTTGTTCCTTTGTGGAAACATACTCTGTCTTCACCAGTCCATTTTGTATTTTCTCTCTTATAAAATGACAATCAATCTCAATATGTTTGGTACGTTCTTGGAATACTGGATTTGCAGCTATCTGAATTGCTGCTTTGCTGTCAGTGTGAATGGTTACAAGAAGAGCAACAGGTACTCCAATATCTTTAAATAGTCCAAGTATCCAAACTATTTCTACCACAGTTGATGCAATACTTCTGTATTCTGATTCTGCAGAACTCCTAGAAATAGTGCTCTGCTTCTTAGACTTCCAGGACACTAGTGAGTCACCATACATAATGAAGAATCCAATTACATATTTTCTAGTGAGGGGACAGGCTACCCCGTCAGCATCACAATAGGCTGTGACTATGTTCTTCTTCTCAGTGGATAACAGTATGCCTTGTCCAGGTTGATTCTTCACATATCTGACTACTCTTTGTGCAGCCTCCATATGAGATCTTTTGGGTTTCTGCATGAACTGACTTAGTGTCTGTACACTGAAGGCTATGTCTAGTCTTGTGACAGTCAGATAAAGAAGCTTGCCTAGTAGTCTTTGATACTTGCTAGGATCAGGTAGCAGCTCATCAGTTGTTGTGTTGTGCATACATGTATGTTCATCATATTCTTTAGTTGTTAGTTTATTGTTGGCTTCAATAGGTGTATTAGAATGCCTTGTTGTGACCTAGCAAACTCAATGCCAAGAAAGTATTTCAGCTCACCTAGGTCTTTCATTTTAAAAGCTTGCTACAGATTGGCATTGACTTCTTCTAACAGCATCAGATCAGGTCTAGTAAGAAGTATGTCATCTACATACACCAAGATAACTATAGTTTGTTTACCTATTCCTTTTATGAACAATGAATGGTCATGCTGGCTCTGCATGAACCCAAACTTTAGTAGTGCTTTTGAGAGTTTGGCATTCCACTATCTTGGTACCTGTTTAAGTCCATACAAGGATTTCAGAAGTCTACATGTTGGTCTGTTCTCCCCCTGACTCTGAAATCCCTATGGCAAAATCATTTAAATCTCATCATGTAGATCTCCCTGCAAAAAAGCATTGTACACATCCGTTTGATGGATATACCAGTGTCCAGAAGCAGCCATAACTAGAATTGTCCTAACAGTAACCATTTTGACTACATGACTGAAAGTTTCCTGGTAGTCAATGTCCTCTTGTTGGCTATAACCCTTGGCCACAAGCCTAGCTTTTAACTTTTCCACTTCCCCTGCGGCTTTGTACTTCACTTTATATATCCATTTACAGCCAATCGGTACTTTGTCAACAGACAAAGGTACCACATCCCAAGTATGATTGGATTCCAATGTAGTGATCTCAGCTTTCACTCCCTCAACCCACTTAGGATCCTTGATAGCTTCTTCAAATGTAGTAGGTTCAACTATTGAAGAAAAGGCAGCTAGGTAGCACTGATACTTGCGAGACACATCTTATAGGAGATGTAGCTAGCAATAGAGTAAGGAACAGATTTGTGACCAGGACATGTCACGAAATCTTTCAACCATATAGGAGTTTGCTTGGACCTCAGGGATCTTCTCAGGCCAGTAGAGTGTTGATCAATAGAAGGTAGCAAAGATGACACTCCTTCAGTGGTATTATCTAGCTGGTCTGATGTCTCCTGGCTTGAGTAATCACCTACAGGACTCAGATTGGGAGAAGATGCCTTTTTTGAACTATGAAGCTCATGTGAAGTAGATATGTAGTCTGCACCATAAGTAGAGGAATCAAAAGACAGAAACACAGGTGGAGAAGAATGAGACTCCTTAAAGGGAAATACATCCTCTCTGAAAGAAATATCCTTGTTGATGAAAAAAAATTAGTAGCAAGGTCCAGTAACACATAACCCTTTTGAATGTCAGAAAAACCCATAAGGACAGTAGGTTTGGCCCTGGGAAGTAGCTTATCTGTCTCTTGGACTTGTTTGGCATAGCATAAGTAACCAAGGACTCTCAGACGCTCCAAGGTAAGTTACTGTCCATATAATAGCTCAAAGGGAGATAAGCCGTTGAGAATAGAACTTAGCATTCTGTTGATAATATAGACAGCTGCAATAACACAATGACCCCAATATTTAATAGGGATATGTGCTTGAAATCTCAAAGCTCTAGTTACCTCTAGAATATGTCTATGTTTCCTCTCAGAAACTCTATTTTGCTGATAGGTATATGCACAAGTCTTCTAATGGATAATACCATATTTTTGAAATAGAGCAAGACAGACAGAATTGACAAACTCAGATCCATCATCAGACCTGACTGCCTTTAGAACTTTGTTGAATTGAGTTTGAACAAAGACAATAAACTGAGTAAGTACCACACAAACATCAGACTTTAGTTTCAAGATAAACAACCAGGTCATTCTGGTGAAATCATCAACCACTGTTAGAAAGTATCCATGACCATCAACCGTTGCATGTTTGTAAGGACCCCAGACATCAACATGAATAAGGTCAAAAGCAATAGTGCTTTTGATACAACTAATTGGAAAGGGCAGTGTGGTTTACTTAGCACATGGACATATAGTGCATTTATTGATAATATCAGTAATATTTGCTAATTTAGCAGGAAACACCTTATTAAGAACTATACTAGACACATGTCCTAATCTTTTGTGCCATAAGCTAACATCAATAGTAGAGTTTCTCATGTGTGACTTTATTCCAGTTGCAGCCAGTGAAATAGCAGTGAGTCTCTTGGAGCCATGCCTCTCTAGAAAGTACAGACCATCTCTCTCCCTACCAATTTCCCTCACCCTGCCACTGAAGAGATCCTGAAATACACAGAAATCAGGATAAAAGGAAGCAAAACATCTTAAGTCTCTTGTCACTTTTGAAACTGACAGCAAGTTGAATTTGAACTGAGGGGCATAGAAAACTTCTTTAATGACATTGTTGTCTGAAATATGACTATCTCCAATATGTGTGACTTGATTAACATCTCCATTAGGTAGTAGCACCTTTCTGGGATCACTAGGAGCAGTTAGGGAGGTTTTAGTTAACATATTAATATTTGAAACCATGTGGTTTGTGGCTCCAGTGTCGATGATCCATTCCTGTGAGCTAGGTGATGATGCCAAAAGAGCAATGGTAGTACCTGCTACATTTTCCTGAGAAGTAGAGAATGAAGTGCCATTGTGACTGTTGTTCAGGATCTGCATAATTTGCTCATACTGTTCTTTGGTTAATGGGAAAGCACCTCCTTGAGCTATCGGCTAGGTGTTTGTAACATTTTGGGCCTATGAAGTAGCAGAACCAGACTGAATTTGAGCACTAGAACTCCCTTGTACCTGATAGTTTTTAGCACCCTAACTCATAGCCTGATGGTGACTATAGTGACTATAGTTTGCAGGCAGAGACTGCAATGGAACACACTGAGAGGCATTTTCAGCATATATAGGCATAGAGTAACCAAGTTCTACCATGACATTGTGTGCAGTAGCTCCCCCTTTCTTCTTAGGCTTATAATTAGATGGATAACCTATAATTTTGTAACAAATTTCCTTACTATGACCTTTCATTTTGCAGAAGTCACACTGAACATTATAGTTCTTTCTAAACCTTGAGTTAGAGTTAGACTTAGCACTATAGAGTGCTATTGAGTCATAGGTATTAGCATTCACAATAGGAGGAGGACCTAATGTACCAGTTGATGCAGCTACAGCTCGTTGGCTCTCATCACTCATAAGCTTAGCATAAGCTTGATTCACTGTTGGTAAAGGCTTCATCAAAAGAATTTGACTACGAGCTATTGATACCCAATTTTTTCCTATATATTTTCAATATGTAAAATACTTTCAAAATAGCATATATACGTATATATAAGCATGTCCAAGGGTTTTATTATTTTTTCCATAATTTTAAAGGTTTAAATTGATTTATTTTCTCCTTTTTTAATCCATAAAATCCCCAATAATTATTTTCAAAATTATTTTTTTGATAAGTCATCTATTGTATTTCTATATTGATACCAAAATATGGCTAATGTAATTTTTATATATTTTTACAAATACATTTAGTATTTTTTAAAGCTAAATTGCACATAATAGCAATATTAGCCCTTTTAAGATTTAATTATGTTTTATATACATAAAATTTGATCCAGCATTTTTAAATTGTTAATTATGTATTATAAATAATTTTATCACTCTAAATTATTTTTCAGAAACTACTTACTATTTTTTATAAATCAAATAGAGAAAAAGTGGTTATTTAAAATATAGCCAGATTGGCTTTCAATTGTAGCCTAAATCAAACCCCAATCCCAGCCCAATATCGAAAAACCCGACCCACACCCTTTTAACCTATACCCAAACCCGTAACCCCACCTACCCTTTCTAATCTTGACCATTGATCTCCCAGATCAACGGTCCACGTTACTTTTTACCATTTTTAACTTGAACGACCCCCTAACCTAATTCATTCTTACCAAACAGCCGCCCTAGAATCCCCAAATCCTCTCCGTCTCTATGAGACCTATTCCTAACCCTAGCAACCACCACCCAAAAATAGACCTAATCCCTTCGATCCTCACTCGATCCATGGAATCCCATGGCTGTTCGAGACATATACTTGTCTCCTACATCTCCTGGTAGCTTGTTTCTGTGATTTCATGAAGGGATCTCGCAGAGATCTAGTCCAGATCTTGTTCAAACCCCTCCAAGAGCCTCTCCATGGTCTTTCTTGCTATTTTCCGGCCATCCATGGCTGTTCGAGTCAGATCCATGACTTTTCCGGCTAAAACCGATAACGTTCTAAGGTTCTCTCATCTTCTTTGGGTTCTAAAACCCTAACTCTTGAGATTATCCACTTTTCTTTAGATCTGTCTTAGATCTAGGTATATCCATGAGTTTTTAACCGATTTTTTCTTCATCTCTACTATTTTCTGAAAACCCTAGTTTCACTATTGTTCGAATCTTCTTATATCTTTATAGATCTGTAGTTATTCGAGTATCATTGGGTATTTTCCTTTTAAAATCTCTTGGTTTGATTAATTATTTCGACTTCATTTACTCTTTTTGAAATTAGGGGTCATGTCAGACTTTTCTTCAAAGATTTTTCTAACTTTTCGGTGTTTAAAGTAAGCATTCTTCACTATCTTGAATGATTCTCTTATATATGTGTGAATTCTGGATGTTTCTGTCTATTGCACTAATTTTCTTTCACCTATTCTCCGTTATTTATTTATTTTTTCTATCAACCCAGTGTATCAACTGATTCTATTTGGGGTTTGAGAAATCTTCCATATTAAAAATCAGTATTCTTCGGGATCCTTGCGAGATTATTTTCTATTAGAGTTTTGAGCAATATTTCTTGTTAAAAATCAATATTCTCTAAGATTTTTTACTGATTCGAATGATTGTCCTGTTAAAATCAATGTGTGCTAGGGATGGTTTTTGATTTATTACCTTAAATAAACCCGGTTATGGCTGTTAATTGACTATTCCCCAATTAAAGGGGTCTTTCCGAGACTTCTCTATAGAATTTGATTCTGTGATTGGTTGATTGATCCTCAATTGATTGAACTCTAATTCTCTTTACCTTATTAGTTCTACTCCTAAAGTGCCATATATACACTCTTATTTTACCTCTC